TGACGGGGCGGTTTTAGAAGTTAAGGGTGTGAGTTTAGAAGTTGAAGGGGTTGGTTTAGCATTTGAGGGGTTTGATAAGATTTGTATTTTCCATGAAATGTCACTCTTTTACAAGGAATTTCAAAACCTATTAGCATTGACTAATGTAATGCCATTTGTGCGTACAGTACAAGTTAATGACCAGCGACCAGCCAACCTCAATACATCAGCTGAGAGGAGCGAACACATGTTACACTTCAATCAATCCACTATAGCTGCACAACAATACCATAAGATCATATCCCAGCCTGAATTCCATTCTTGTAATTCAGAAGTGGGGGAGTACATTATACAGCAAAAGCTGTGTCAGCAATATTAGGATGTCCGTATAGTTTTCTGTGTTTCCAGTCACCCATCAACCCTGAAATTTTATTCCAATGTGAAATACTATAAACTATTCTTATCTCAATTTTCTCTGCTGCTGTGGAAGTTCGAGCCCTGATTTGATAAAATAAATGTTCTTTCACTTGAACACTCCTACAAAACAGGCCAGTTTGATCATTCTTCATCTATATTTATGTAAAAAATTGTTCCCGAAGCAAACCTGCTTGGTCAACAATCAACAGATTGACAGGCAACAGAGGGTAAGAGACCTGTTCTAATCCAGTATCCAGAGTCTCAGTAACAAACACCAACTTCAACCCAGATATCAAAGGTGAGTGAGTGAGTTTAGTTTTACGCCGCTCTCAGCAATATTCCAGCTATATGGTGGTGGTCTGTAAATAATCGAGTCTGGACCAGACAGTCCTGTGATCAACATCATGAGCATTGATCTGCGCAATTGGGAACAAATGACGTGTCAACCAAGCCAGCGAGCCTGACCACCTGATCCCATTAGTCGGCTCTTATGACAAGCATGGGTTACTGAAGGTTCATGCTAACCCGGACCTTCACAGGTGAGGTATCAAAGGGATACCTTGTCAATGATGGGTCTGAATTCTAACCAACCAAGGACATTTTAGGTCCAAATTTAGACATATGTCAGACATATGTCAAATTAATTTACTGTTAGTTTCTCAAACATTACTTTGTTTTCTGAAATCCTTCTCCAAGCCAGGCTGTCATGTCTTGTCTTTCATATTGCCCCAATAATGGCTTGGATATATTACATTTTGCATATCTCACTTTCATAAAGAAAACTGATTTCAAGTAAAAACACTCCTTTTCAAATAATTCATGAATATTTGATTCTTGTCGGGGCACTACTCCTTTGGTCATGTCACTTGAACCAGAGATTGGAGAACTGCAGATAAAAGCATCATACATCATTCAACAGATAATGACACTGTCAGGCTATTGTGGGTACTTCATATGTCACCATGAAGGCGATTCTGCCTTGACAATATTTTGTTATGTTGTATCGACATGAGCATGATGATTACAGACTTCAGTCCTAAATGCATGTGCTCACAACCATCTTATTGATTATAGGTAAAGATTTCAGCATTGAATTATTAGCTGGCTTAAAAAGGTGCCAGTGGCAATGCCCAAAAAGTTCTTCAGGGATTTACAGGAATTACTGCGTCCTATACGCATAAAAATTGACAATGGACGCAACCAAATTTATTACCGCTTCCACAGGGACTCAGAAAAAGTCCAAATACTTTTTGTAAAAATTCCAATCAAGTGACAATAAGTTATCACTGAGTTTGCTACTAGCTGGGTTATGGTATTATTTGCAATTTAATTACTGTAACAATGTGATGATCAAGATACACAACACAACAGTATTGATAATCATATTTAAGTGTCTGGGACCCCCATTTTGTTGTCCAGGACACCCGAAAATTAAGAGTATGAGTCCCAGGTACGAGTCAAATACAGGACTCCATGTAAATCCCTGGTTCTTGGTGCATGAACGGAGATCTCAAATCCATATAAGCCAATGTTTATTATACACAAGGGCATTTAGAAACAAGCAGTTGTCACTAAGGTGACATAATCCCCTGCCGCAAATTATCAAATCAAAATTAAAGAGTAACGAAAGTGAAGGTCGTAGTTTAAGATGAAGTTAAATGTCAACAAAAACATGACCAGTCAACCTCTCTTGATATCTTGCTCTGTAGCTGTTCAAACACACAAATATTTTCAAGACTCTCTTTGACGTTGACATGAATGTCATGGTGTATGAAATATGCAAAAAACAGTAATAGAGAAATGGATTATCAAAAAACATTCAAGAGAAGTCTTGAAAGTCTATGAAGAAAATCCAGTGAACCGTTCTTGAGATATCTTGCTGACAATCTTAACATACTGAAATCTTAAAAGTGTCGCTGTGAACTTGAAAATCATGTGAAGGTCACCAATCTCGACTGAGCCCTGCACCTTCCCTATATGAAGCCTGGTGTCAAATATAATGACAATCCAGTGAATGGTTCATGAGGTATCTCGCTGACAAGCTTAACATGCAGGTTAACATGCTGAAATCTTCAAAGTGTCACCATGACATTGAAAATAATGTGAAGGTCACCAAACTTGACTGGGCCCTGTGCATTCCCCAGATGAAGTTTGGCGTCAAATATGAAGAAAATCCAGTGATTGGTTTTTGAGGTATCTCGCTGACAAGCTTAACATGCAGGTTAACATGCCGAAATCTTCAAAGTGCCGTCGTGACCTTAAAAATTATGTGAAGGTCACCAAAATCAACTGGGCCTGCACATTCCCTATATGAAGCTTGGTGCCAAATATGAAGAAATCCAGTAAATGGTTCTTGAGATATCTCGCTGACAAGGGTAACAAGGGTGAAATGAAGCTCAAGGTCACCAAACCTGACTTGGACTTTTCTTATACTGTGATGCACCTAGGTACCAAGTATGAAAAGAATCTAGTCAATGGTTCTTCAGATATTCTAATTTGTACGTACGTACCTACGGTCAGACGGAGCCTGATACTATATCCCCCACTTCGCACTAAACGCGCGGCGGGGGATAATTAATGACTGTATTATCAATCCCATTGAGTGAGTGAGTGAGTTTAGTTTTATGCCACATTTAGCAATACCACAACAATATCACACCAGGGGGACACCAGAAATGGGCGTCACACATTGTGCCCATGGGGGGAATCAAACCCGGTCTTCAGCATGACAAGCAAATGCCTTAACCACTAGGCTACCCCACCACCTTCAATGTCAATGAATTGGTAGAGGTAAACTTACCAATTACAACAGATTATCTAGAATTTTGTTAAACAACATTCATTATACAAAAAGTCTTAAGTTGAGCCTAAGCTTATACGAATCTATATTTAAACCAGCAGTTCCATAAAAGTTGTCAATGGACAACAGCTGACAGAATTATAATTCATGTGGACTAGGGCTGTTACTATTCACTCAAGTGTTCGATGAATCGAACCATATCCCTCAATTCAACAGAATATTCATAATCATCAGAATCAAGAGTCACGAATGTTTTAAAAAGGGGTATTGTTACTTGAATTTGGAGTTGTTTAACAAAGTGAGATATGCAAAATGCAATATATCCAAGCCAGGCAGGATTATAGTCAACAGTCTTCTATATTTAATTTGACATTAATGTGGTCACTGGCCATTGTCGTCATAAAATAACACTGACAACATGGTCCAAATTTAACAACAAATTTATTTTGTTGTTTCACTGAATGCAACAATAATATGTGAACTGCAGATCTCTTATTGTAAATGTTACCCAATATTTATGATATATAACACATTCACCTATATTAGTTGATTCATTGCAGCCCTAATGTTGGCTTCATTAACAAAAAGACCGCTTCCGTGGTGTATAGTATAGAGCGTCCGCCCGGAGAGCGGAAGGTCGCGGGTTCGATCCCCGACCGCGTCATACCAAAAGACGTTAAAATATGGTACGTGTTGGTCCCTGCCTGGGCCTCGGCATTAATGGGTACAACAAGGACTGGTCGGCTCGGAGTCAGTATAATGTGTCTGAGTGGGGTATTCATGCTTCACTGCGGCATGGTATCTCAGTAGGCTAGCACTATAAAACCAGCTTCAGTCTGGGCTAGTACAAGCAGGCGCACATACACATACACACGCATGCACGTCGTCATATGAGCGAAATATTCTCAAGCACGACGTAAAACCCAATTTCACCTCACCTCATTAACAAAGATACTGATTGCATGATTTGAAGAGAAACATATCAAACCATATATTTTAGTTATGGAAATTTTGTTGCTGGCACTCAATTTGAAAAGTACATATGTACATCTTCATGCCTATGTGCATACAATGTACTTGAAATATCCACCCATTATCTGGCAGTACTAGCCTCGCAGTCCTGATAAAACTGTGCTTATTGATGCACCTGGAAATAATTCTAAACTCCAAATGGGAGTATGAGATGACCTGTGACCGATGCTGTGTTCGATGCTGATCGATGTATTACACCATATCAAACGTGTCATATGTACATGAATTAAAGTATAAAACAATGGCTGGAGCAATGTACATTTTTCTATATGAAGTTTTAAACTGTTTCTTTTCACATACATCATGTTTCATTTACACAACTATCATCAAATTGTCACTTATTTCATTTGTTTCTCGCCATAGAGCAAAGAATATCTAGACTGGGTTCGGTAGACGTCATCCTCCTGATGGGATGTATACAAATTGTCGTCATAATAGTAGTACTTCACGTGTTTCACGTTTTCACATGTCAACGAACGTGGAGATGAAGTAAAGTTTTATCAACTGTCAAAATCAAACACAAATCTGACCCCGGAATCGTCGCATTCATCTTCATACACAACCGCGACAAGCGCATTAGGCCGAGAGATGCCGGTTGATTGTTGTTAGATGGGATTAGTCGTGCATAGGGGTACCGCGATCTAAGTTTCCACGAAACTGCACGAGGCATTCCGGGAGTGCAGTGAAAGTGAAATTTGCATTTGTAATGGTACTATGTTTCACTACTTCCATGTACAGTTTGTTTAGTTATTGTCAAATGAAAATGCCTCACCAGAATTATGCTGAGGAACAGGAGCACTGTGTGTCCTTTCGCCATGTTTGATGCCACGTTATGTTTCCAAGTTATGAGCATGCGCAGTGCTCGAGATTGCCAATGACAGTCTCCATTGGTGATGGGCACGCTGCGTTATCTCCCGGCCCATCCGTTGATTGATAAAATATTAAACCCACGTGGCACTACAAGCATACAGTTCAAGACACAACATGCACAATTCCACTAATTAAATCAATAAATAAGTCCTCTTGCTATGTTTCAGCGAGTTAACTATATTTGCCAGTATGCCTATCTGACGCCACTCGGCTATATTAATGCTGTCAAAAGCATGGTTCAGGCGTTTTTCTAAAGTATCTATGATTAGGTCTATCTGTGAGTCTCTGTGTGTAAGTACGGCTCTCCTAAAATAATAATAAAGTACGTTTACATAAAGAAAACAGCTTATACTTAACTGCTAGCCGTCAACATGCAATAAGAGTGATAAAAATATACTGATAACATTACTGGTCTCTTTATAAGTTTTATGACAAAACGCCAATATCTGGGTTTACAGAAGTGATATACCAACGCTCACATATAACGAAACCGAATGCATTATTGAATGGAATGTTTTGTAATTGTTACAGAGAGTGAGTTTAGTTTTACGCCGCATTTAGTAATATTCCGCAATATCACGGCGGGGGACACCAGATATGGGCTTAACACAATGTACCGATGTGGGGAATCGAACCCGGGTCTTCAGCGTGACGAGCGAACACTTTAACCACTAGGCTACCCCACCTCCCCTGTAATTGTTACAGAGTGGGCCGTAATTACAATTGATAATATTTTTCATTATTATAATTCCTTTATCTCACAGAATCATTTAAACTAACAGGTACATAGTTCTTGTGTCAACTATATAGTTCTGCACTCGAGCTATTGGTGGTATTTGGGATATTTATCAAAATTATTAATACCTAAACCTATAATATTCTACTTCCTACCTCCTATTCATTTTAGCGTTCAATGTAGACTTTAAATATATATTTTTTCAGGGATAATTTCTCATTTTAGATCATTCTATTTTGTATATATCTGTCTCAAACATGTAGACATACGTATATAGAACTTATAAGATATTGACTGGAAGAATCACACGATGATTACTATAATCCTAACTAATTACTCTTGACTCGATTATTTATTATTATTGCTGGTATATTGCTGAGTGCGGCTTTAAACAACAATTAAATAAATTTAAATACTGCGGTAAACTCTAGATACCGTGTTGTGTATATGACATTAAGACTATTGAACACAAGTATGTATGTTACACATCTGTAGACGGGGACAATCTCAAATACCTTTCAGCTGATCGCTTACATTTAAATTCAGTGCTATTGTCGCGCCATTTTAACTGACACCCAGTAGAGATGACTCTGGAATACGTTTGGAACGGTCTCAATAATTGTATTATGCCTTAAACGTCTTTACTTACGTTTATTTATAATTTTGTTGAAAATGTTTGGGTAGGACCTTTAATTGGATTAGAACCCTAAACCACCAGGATCCTTATCGGGATCCTGCAGGATCGGGATTGTCGTTCTATCAACACAACAAACTGTAACAAATTTACCATATACGGTTCTTGCCAACATGCAAAAATATTACTAAAAATATAACGCACGTACACACATACGAAGGTGACGTGAATTTCGGGTTTAGCGTCGTGCTTGAGAATATTTCGCTCATATATATTTAGCCCACTGAGATACCATGCCGCAGTGAAGAATGAATACCCCACTCAGACACATTATACTGACTCCGAGCCGACCAGTGATTGTTGTACCCAATAATGCCGAGCGCCAGGGACCAACAAGTACCATATTTTAACGTCTTTTGGTATGACGCGGTCGGGGAATACACACATACGTATGCATATTCGCATAGTTATCTATATAGCATTAATCCAGATACTTAAATATTACAACTTTGTGCGAACACTGTAAGTTATGCGACTTTCTTTTATGGACAGATTTTTAAAAATATAAATGAGAATTTTACGGTAAGAATGTTCATATATACTATTTGTGTGACGTTTTCCTGTGATACTGATTCATGAAGAGTTGTAACAAATAGCCATATATTTCCTGGTTAGAACCTTTGAAAGTTTTGAAAGAGTTATGTATGCACGTATGTATTTCCCCTTTCAAATGCCGTCTTTATATTTGAACTTAATGAACGGAAACAATCATCAATCAGTTTCAGATGCATGTGTCAGAGTCAAGTATTTGTACGTGCGCACACAGCTAAAATAATAAAGATTAGTTAGTGTGTTAAGTAGAAAGGTTTAATACTATGCTGCCATTTATTTAGCTAAGTACATTTTACACGTACATTTAACAATAAGAATAGAGTATATAACTTAGAATATGTGTTATGTTTCATACTTTAACGTGGTATGTCTTAAAATATCTATTTCCAGTGTAAGCTTTTCTTTCAATTTAATCTCTAATTGTCATACTGCATGCTTTTGACCTTCAGCTTTCCCAGCGTGTCTGGTCGGGACATTGTCTCGTATACAGGACAAGCTGGCCATAGCTAATTATAAACTTCAATATGTGGAGGATTTCTAGTTAGTTATATTTATAAATAGGATCAGCTGTGTAATCCAATTCCGATTTGATTTATCTATTTGGAATGCATATTGGATCTTGCTGTTGTGATTATCCGTACAATTGAAATGTTAAACTCTAAACTAAAGATATATTGTTGTAACCTATCTGTAATTGCCAGTGAATGTGCGCCTGTATGTTTCACACACACGTGCGCGCACGCACGCACATACACATTTTACTTGAATATATGGCCAAGATACAGTTAACCAGATAGAATTTAAAGGGTAACTGTAGCCTACACATATTCATAAGATTCTGTTTCATATTGTAATTTCATTGATTCAGGATTCAGCTTGTCTCATGTGCACCATGCACAAGGGCGGATTTAGTCGGTTAGTGCGGGGTGCGTATGTTTTGTAAATGCTATAATTCGGATTCCAAACTCTTATCATATTCTAAACTTAGGTCAACTTCAGGCCATCGTAAAAACATATATTTATCATAAACTCGGTTATTAGGCCAAAGGAAGGGAGACACAGCATGGGTTTAATTATCATTGCGAATGCTTAAATAAATATACTCCCTCGTTATATGGCTAAAATATATTTAAGTCAATCACTATGTATACTCCCGGTGTTGATCCGGGTTAAATCTATATAGATTTGGTCTGCTGTTTTGTGTTAGCTTTCTTTGGAGACAAATGGAAATGTAATCTGGTGATGAGGCTCGGTGACAGTGGATCCCGTTGTATACGTTGTTCGCGGTATCAACCACATGGTTTGTCTAACCCAGACGCCTCTGTGTGTACATGCTTAACCATACGACTGGAATATCCAGGCGTGAAATATACAACCACAAATTATTTTTACATGGATCCATACTCAATACAGAGAAAGGAATTATTAGATCTCTAAACCTGGTTCAGTTGAATACATCGTCCCAAGGCGAACGTGCTCCAGAATGTTTTATGTCACTTGAATTGTCTTGATTATCCTCTTTTTGGAAAATCGGTTGCGTAACATTAAGTAAATATACTTGTCCACATCTATCAATGGATGTCCAAGTGAAGGGAAACAGCGATAATGTATTTACAGACAACCGCGTTCCTAAACCCACGTATCCATATCATGGGATCTGAAGACACGACATATTTATATATTATGCAAATAGTTCATCAAAGTCGGGAGTATTATAAAGATTAACGCGCATTTACAACTGTGGAAATTCTTTATAGGATGAAGGTGAGGTGAGGTGAAATTGCGTTTAACGTCGTGCTTGAGAATATTTCGCTCATATGACGACGTATAGGATGAAAGAGAAGGTGGGGTAACTCACTGGTAAAAGCGGACGCTCATCAAGGCGGAGGATCGAGTTCGATTCCCCACAATGGTACAATGCATGAAGCCCATTTCTGCTGTCCGCTGGTTCGATATTGCTGGAATATCAATAAAAACGATGTAGAACCCGACTCACTCACTTACAAGATGAGTGAGTGAGTGAGTTTTACGCCACTTTTAGCACTTTCCAGCAATATCGCGGCGCGTGGGACAGATATGGGATTAACACATTGTACCCATGTAAGGAATCGAACCCGGATCTTCGGAGTGACGAGCGAATGCTTTAACCACTAGGCTATCCCGCCGGCCCAGTTATAGGATGAAGACACGAATCAGTTTATGGATAGTATATATTAGCCTTGTGGTATTAGTGAGGTACACTCACGAACTCTTGTTCTTCCTACTTACACATGCTTATCAACTGCTTCATAATACGATGTTAATATATATTAAACGTATGTTAGTAACTGACTACACCCGGTGGAACCTTTCTTTAAATATTTGACTAAATATAAATGCCAAAGTGTTTGGAAACAGCGGTTCCCTCTCTATGTCCAGACTAGCCAGTTGCGTCACACCTTTTAACTCATTTAGGTCACCGTCACTGAGAAAGGCATGCCTTTACTAATCCAGCTGCCTTTTAACTGGGAAATGAGTCATAGTTGCCGTCAGAAATGTATGTTTATTCACTAATATTTATTTATGTAAACGTCAAATTTAAATGTGGTGAGAAGACTCCACTTGATATCTGTTTCAACGCAAATAGTTTTCTTGTATTCACGTATTGTGCTGCCCATGCATCTAGGTTGCAGTCGCTTTGTTCCCCATACTGCTTACACATTTCGCACGAGCCACATCTTAATTGGGGATAGGTGTTTTATGTAACATTTCTCACAATGTCACCGAGGCTTACGTCGCATACCTCAGCAGCGAACCTACACCATGACCCTCGGAGCGTTTGGTGCGCAAGTAACAGTTAGAGAGAAATGGGCGACTCGTATCGCCTTACTGTACAACACAGTAGCAGAATAGTAATAGTAATAGTAATATTCCGCTTATATGGCGCTCATATCCAGGCACATTGCTTGCTCACGGCGCTACGTACATTACTATCCCCAGTCATAGGACACTATCGTACTTTCCGATACTTTTTCAACTC